TGACAGCCTGTGGTTTCAAGAGTCACATTATTCACTATCTAGGATAAATCCAATTAAACTACTTTATATGAATATATATGTTCAGGAAGCTTATTAAATAGTTATATAACTGTTTCAAACATCTTTAGTGCCTGCGATCCCTCTTCCCACTCTCTCCAACCCTCAAAATTCCCATGCCTCTCCCATCTTAAACATCCCTCCCCATTATTTCCCTTTCCCCTTCTTATTACCTGTGTTCTACTATTCCCCCTCTCCATTAAGATCTCTATTTCCCTCTCCACCAATGGCTCTAGTTTCCTGGATCCTATAGGCACTCAAAGTAAAACAAAAATCTAAAGATTGGGATAAGATCCATATGAGTGAGATCAGGCAAAGTTTGTCTTTCTGGGACTGGGTTACACCATTCAGCATGTTTTCCAGCTTCATCCATTTACCTACAAACTTTATAATTTCATTTTTCTTTAAAGTTGAATAAAATTTAGTTGTGTGTATGTGCCATATTTCCATTATCCATTCATCAGTTGATGAACAACTAGTCTATTTTTGTATCCTAGCTGAACATGAATGAGCATGCACCTCTATAAAGGAAAGAGAATCCTTTGAAAATATGCCCAGAAGTGGTATAGCTGGGCCATATAGGAGATCTACTTATAGTTTTTTGTTTCTTTCTGATAGATGACCACACTTATTTCTACAGTGACTGCATCAGTTTGCATTCCCATCAACAGTGCATGAGAGGTCCCTGTTCCTGACACCCTCACCAGTGTGTGTTGTCTATTGTTTTCTTTATCTTACCCATTCCGATTGGGATATGATGAAATATCAAAGTAGTTTCAATTTACATTTTCCTAATGGCTAATTATGGTTAACACTTTTAAAAATATATTTCCTAGCCATTTGTATTTCCTACTCTCTGTTCAGTTCCATACTCCTACTTGTTAACTGGGTTGTTTTCTTGATGGCTAGCTTTTTTGAGTTCTTTGCCTTCTAGACACTAACCCTATGTCAGATGCATAGCTAGCAGAACTTTTCCCTATTCTGTATGCTGCCTCTTCAGTCAAGTAACAGCTTTCTTTGTAATAACAGAAGCTTTTTTAATTTCATGAACTCACACATAACCGACCTGACTTTACAATTGATACTAGAGATTGATAAAGGACTGTGATCATTACTATTGCAGACTGTGCACAGGGCACAGCATTGACCATGTGGAGCAAATTTTGGTACCCTATCTTCATCTATTTAACACCTGAGATGTATCAAGCATCCCATGTGTTGAGGATAGAGTTCATGAGCAAGAAAAGCAAGATAAACGTGTATTCTGGATGGTAATTCAAGACATAAGGAAATAAAATTTTAAAACATAGTAAGTGCTATAAAACATTGGATCAACTGATTTCAAAGTATACCAAAGAGGCATAATGACAGAAACAACATGGTTCTAGCACAAAAATAGACATAGAAATCGATATAATAGAAAAGATGACCCAAGAGTAAACCTATACAGACACACTCATTGGACCCTAGAAAAATGTGCCAAAAATATGTTGGAGAAAAAAATTGCCACCTTTAAAAATGTTGCAAGAAAAACTCAATATCCACACGTAGGAGATTAAAACTGATCTCTATCTCTCACCCTGTACAAAAACTAATTCATGGGCCATTAAGACAACTTAGTGGGTAATGTACTTGCCACACAAGCCTGGTCACCTGAGTTCAATCCCCAAAACCTGCATAAAAATGGAGGAAAGTACTTCAAAATATAGACATAGGAAATGAGTTTGGAAGACACTCCAAAAGCCAAGGAAAACAAGAATCTGCAAATGGAATTGCATGAAATTTAAAGTTCCTATGCAGAAAAGGAAACAATTAATAAACAGATGACCAATCAGCTATTCAACTGACAGGGGATTTATTCTGAGAACATTTAAGGAACAGATAATTCTCAAAAAGAAGTATAAATGGTCAATAAAATTTTCATCCTTCTAAACAATCATAGAAATGTAATTTAAAAGCACATTGAGAGTCTATCTTACCCAGTCTATTGTCATGAAAACAAAATAACAACAAACATGACTGGGATGTGGAATAAAGTCACACCGTTAGTGCACATATAAATTAATCCAGCCACTGTGGAAACCAATATGAAGGTCGTTTAAAAATATAAAAATTAAACTATCATATTATCCAGATACACTACTACTGGGAATATGCTTTAAGGAATCAGAGTCGGTTTACTATAGAGTTACCTGCCTAGACGTGTTTATTGTAGCAATCTTCCCAATAGTCAGGTTATGGATTCAACCCAGGGGCTCATAAGTACATGGGTGGATAAAGAAAATGATATACAGACACTGAAGTATTAATTAGCCATAAAGAAGAAAGTATAAAGTTTACAGGAAGACAGATAGAACTAGAGATCGCTGTGTAAGAGAAATAAACCAGGCTCAGAAAGACAAGTATCTCATGTTTTCTTTCATATGTAGAATCTGTGCTTTAAAATGATCATGCAGATATAAGGAGGATGTGTAGGAAAGGAAGGATACCAGGGCAAGGGTAGAGTGGACACAAGAGAACATAATGGGGGTGAATATGACAAAAATACATCATATGCACGTGTATGACAATGTCATAATGAAACCCGTTACTCTGTGTAATTAGTATACACTAATAAAAAAATGGAAAAGATGGTACAATATATTAAAATAACCAGAAAAGTTGGGGAAAGGTGACTTTGTACATGAGTATTAAATACATGGTCTCTTTGAAGATGGTATTTTAGGCAATGACAGAACATTGAGATAAGTTTGCTCCAAGTAAACCTAAGCCTAGAGCAAACAGAAACCCGGGAGTAGCAAACATCTCAATAAGATGGTGGGATACAGTCATGGGAAGGCAAAGTGAAATCTCAGGTCAGAAGTTTCTAGGGAGATATGTCTGCAGAGGCGGGACCACTTTCTCCAAATAGATGGAGCTGTATTCATGAGAAGGTGTTGTAAGAGTATGAAATGCCCCTTATAGTCATCTGTCTTTGAACGCTTGGCCCTCAGCTGTTGGCACTATTCCAAAAGCATCTAAAACTGTTAGTAGGAGGGGCCTCATTGGAAGAAGTAGGCCACTGAGGGTGGGCCTTGGGGTTTCCTCTTTGTGTTCTGCTTCCTGACTATGGCTGTAATGTGACCAGTCACCTCACACTCCTGCTGCCCTGCCTCCCTGCCACAATGGACTGTATTTGCTCAGACTGTAGGCTAAAGTAAATTCCTCCTCCTTTAAGTTGCTTCTCATCAGGTATTTGGTCATGACAATGAGAAATGTAATTAATACAGAAGGTGACCTGACAAGAAACTGGAGATCCATGGAGAATATTAGAGTGAAAACTCAGGTCAGAACCAAAGCAGAGGCGGAATCCTATGAACCAGAAACAAAAGCACAGAGTTGGTCCTAAAAGGTAGAAATCTGTTATCATGATGATACTGAAAAGGAATGCTACCACACAAAGGTAGTATATCATATAGCATTGATTAGAGTAATACTGGACCATCCAGCTCAGTTATCACATGATTTCATCCTTATTGATCCTGGTCTAGAAGACACTGGAGGCAGATCTCAACCAAGATTAGAAGATGATTTAATATAACTGAGTAGCTACAAAGAAAACCTAAAACTTCACATGTTCAAGCATACTTTACCAAAGATTTCTAAATCTGCTTTGAGGGCAGGGGATAGTTTGGGGAACTTAAACTCATTCCCATAAGTGAGAAGTTTCCACATATCTTTTAATTATTTAAAAACATCTTTCAGTTGACCCCTTTTTAAAATATTGCCTTAAAATGTTATCTTCCATTTTAAATATTTCTCTGATAAATTATACTAATTAATGTACTGAATCTCATAAATTGACCTAATTTCTTATGTGCATGCTAAAACCAGCATGATAAATTTCATCATTAAGAAGTACTGTATTTTAGAGTAAGACTGTATATCCAGATGCAACCATGCAGGTAGGGGTACTGAAAGCCTTGAGAGAAGCAAAGATCATTTATTAAGTAACTTTAAAAGCATTTACTAAATGTCCAGCCAATTGTTTCACATGTAAAGAAACAAACACAGTCTCTGGCATCAATGAACTTGCAATCTGTTGAGAGTAGCAAACGACTGTTGATTAGGAGTGTTCAACATTTGAAAAACTTTCCTGAAAAGGGGGTGAAAACTAGAGAGTAATAAGTGACTTCCAGCTAAAAATTCTAAATGAGATTAAATTCTATCTATACATGATCAATCAAACCTCTGTACTAAACTTCGATCGACCCCTGACAAGTACTGTATGTCCAGGTGCTTATTTTTCCTTCTTTATTTGAATATTTAATAGTCATTTCAAATATATACTCATGGTGTGGAGTTTGGTATGGAAATAAAGTTTAACATCTCAGAAAGATCTTCTGGTGTCCTAGGATTACAATACTAGCCAATGCTAGCTCCTAAATACCTGGTAACTTCAATATTTTAGTTTCCCTTTGCCAAAAACTTGTGACTGCAAATCTTGTGACTTATAGCTTCAATTTCCCTTACTACCTTGGTCCAAGTCATTTATCAATCATTTTTAGCCTAGGTTATAAAAAGCGCCCTCTTTGGATTCCCCAGTCCTATTCACATAGCCCATGCCATTTTGAATGTGCTTCTTCATCTCTACCCTATAAATTATGAAGCCCACTTATGTAAAGACTGAAACATTCATAGAAGATGATAAGTTCATATTTAATGGTTATTAAAGGATTGTGATCAAAGAGAGTCAGAAGGAAGAACATAAATATTAAAGGTTGGTTCAGCACATATTTATAAAGAAGAAATATTGCAATAGTAGTTCTGAAGTTTTAAGTTCAAAATAAGGCAGCAGCATAGACATCATATCGTGTCTCTTGCAACATTACCATCAAATCAATAGTAAAATATGCGCAGATTTACACAATCCCTCTACAAATTCCCTCTTGGACTCACGTCTCTCAGAACTGGTGCTTGAATAGTTTGATAATCCCCTGTTTGATTTCCTGGGTCCGTACTCCATACACAATGGGGTTGAGGGCTGGTGGGATGAGATGATGCAGGACATTGAGAAGAATAGGGACCTCTGAGGGTATCTTCTTTCCTGCCTTGTTTGTGAATATGAAGACTAGCAGCAGTGTATAGAAGAAAAGTATTAGGATGAGATGTGAACCGCAAGTACTCAAGGCCTTAGTAACTGCACCTCCTGATTGCCGATGCATAACAACCCTGAGGATAAAGCAGTAAGACAGCAGGATGAGCACCAGGTCAGAACCTAGTAGGCACCAAACACTCACAAACTGATAAAACTTATTTAGGTGGATATCCCCACAGGAGAGCTTTGCTACAGAAATATTGGCACATATACAGTTCTCTACCACATTGCTGGAGCAGTAATTGAGTCTAGCAGCCAGGACTGGAGTGGGCAGCGTGGCTAAAAGATTGCGAATGACAATGAAAATGGTTGCATTAATGACAAACTGTTCTGTGATGATGGATGGGTAACGCAGAGGGTGGCAGATGGCCACATAGCGATCGTAGGCCATGACTAGAAAGGTGGAGGATTCCATAGGAAGGAAGGTATTCATGATGAACATCTGCAGGAAGCAGCCCACAAAGCTGATGGGCTTCATGTCAAACCAGAAGATGAGCAGGACCTGTCCAGAATTATGATTCTTAAAAACCCTGTACATTCATCAACATCCTAGAGTACCTAGCCATGGGAAAATCATCTCAAATAGAGAGTTAAAGCCATCCAAACCCCCCAAACCACAGCCCCATTGTCCTCACTGGAATGGTGTCCTAATTTCAAATACTTTCTATGCATTTGTATATATCACAGTCTGTAGTCTAACTTATACTCCTTTGCTAAGTCTAGAAAAGGACACTTGAATACACAAATTAAGACTCTATAGACCTTATTATGTATACAATACAGTAGATTAAATTGGGTGGGGGACAATAAGGGGAGGTGCAGATAAGGGAAAAGATCTAAATACCATCAAGTTACATTATGAGAATTGTAAGAATTCACTTAAAAAAGAAACGTGTTTATTAGTATCCCGAAATTAGTTGAGCCCCATGGTTCTTACCCACACTGCTGTGGACTCATCTGCCCGTTACAGGATACATGTGTCACAGGAGGGTCAAAAGCAAGAAGCCCAATGCCTACATTGGGGCACTCTTCAATCCCTTCATGCACTTTAAGGAACCTTTTCCAACATGCTTCCTACCTCACTATATGATTATATAAATACAATTACATTTTAGAAAATTAATTCTAGAGCCCTTGGGTATAAAAGTAGGAGAATTCAGAGTTGAAGAGAATATCTCCAGAATAAAGAAAAAATGGAATTTGAAATATTACTAACAGACATTGAGAGAGGAGATATTAGTTGGGAGATAATGAAAACCAATAATTAAATAAGAGGTCATGAAATTGAGAGGGACTGGGGCAGCATGGGAAGATTTGGAGGGAAAAAAGAAAGGGTGGAAATGATGTAAATGTGGTACTCATGTATAAAGTTCTCTGAATTGGCACCAAAGGACATCTGGGTACAAAAGCTTGACTGGATAGGACTTAACATGTGTGGTGGAATACATGAGGTACAGTTGCGGGGGCAGGGGAGCATGCATAGGGAAGAGGAGTCTAAATTTCATTAAGAACTGTTGTATGAAATGAACAAAAGTTCAATTAAAAATTTAAAAATAAAATGATAAAAATAACAATTAATTATAAAAAAATGAATGAGAAGGCATAGCTTATAGCAGAGAGGAATCTGGTATGATGGTCAGTGGCATAGTGGGCATTTTCCTTCAGGGATGAAAGGATTCACAGAAGCAAAACAAAGAAATATTTAACTAAAGATGACAACTAAGTGCCTGGAGCGTCTGACCTTGGGAATGACTGTGAGGCAGAGGATGACGTCAAGCACAGAGAGCAAGACAAGCAGGTAGTACATGGGCTCATGCAGAGATGTCTCATTAAGGATGGTGAACAATAACACAAAGTTGGCCCCAAGAGCCAAAATAAGGAGAGGAGCCAGGATGAGTGATAACCAGTGCTGTGTGTCCTGCATTCCTGGAAAGCAGATCATCAGAAATTCTGTCACCTGTGTCCCGGTGCTGTTGAAGGATAACACCATGGTCGGCAGGTGGGTCTGGAAAGAGCTGAAAGAAGCAGGCAAGAATTCAAGGCCTTCACTGCTTCATTAGTTGAAATAGCTAATGCCTGTTTTCATTCTAGCTCTCAAGTTTTCCCATCTGAGGGGCTGGAGAGATGGCTCAGCGGTTAAAAGCACTGACTGCTCTTGCAGAGGACCCGGGTTTGATTCCCAGCACCCACGTTGGGGCTCTCACAGCAGCCTGAAACCCCAGCATTGCACTCACATGCAGACACATAATGTTAATAAAATACATTTGAAAAATAAAGGTTTGGTTGTCTAAGGTTCTTCAGACACATAAAATTAAAATAATAAATAATATATAAAAAATAGTCCATCTGAAGTTTAAACTGGACCACATCATCTCCTGTTGAAAAAAATTCCATTTAGTACTAATAATTTTGTGTAAAAATAAGAACTTCCTCTACATAAGTTCTAAGCCCAAACAGACTCCATATAGTTCACTAACACATAGTCAGATGCAGCCACACAGGGGATTTGTTCTGCTTTGTGTAAAACATTTCTGTTTCATGTGTGTCATATACTTCCCTTAGAATACATCCTTTTTCCTTCAAATAATTAACTTCTGCCTGTCCCATTCTCACCTGTACCAAAACTTACACTTCTTGGAAATCTGATTTCTTGTTAATCATTTTAAATGCCTCTCCTTTGTTCTCTTATGGTCCTCAAATGCCCCAAGCACATTGCTAATAAAGCAAGAATTATACTTTTCTTTCCTTACATGCTGTCTTTTTGTTTTACAAACAGTTCTGGGTAGAATATAATTTTTATAGTGCTGAAAAACCCACCGGACTACTATGGTGTAATAGGCATTCAATAGGTACATTCCAGATACATAGGTCTGATAGATCACTGAAAGCCACAGAATGCCTTTGAGAACTATTCTGTATCATTTACCATTTCCATGTTTTGCTTCATTAAAGTCCACTGGAGCTCCTGCTTCATACTCAGAAAAACTGAATGAAGAAGGTAAGAAATAATTTAGAGGTGAGCACATCTTAGTTGCATGATATAGAGAAACAAGCTGGAACTGAGCTCAAAGCTTCCTCTTGCCAATGAGCCTTCTTGGTACCAGATGAGCTATGAAAGTTGCTGGGGAGAAAAGCCATGAGCCTATGCCCATCAGAACCTTCACCCAGCAGTTCCTGGATGATTACAAAGATGCTCAAAGAAAATCAGTGGTTTACCTCAAGTAGCATCAGAACCTGAGCATTTTTAGTTATCCTTCACAGAAGAAAATAGCTACTCCCTAGTTCTTTTTTGCATTGGAGGGGTTTGTTTCATATATTTTCTCCCTTTTCTAGAAAATACAAAGGTTATTTTTTGGTTTTTATCAAATACACAAAAATATTATTGCACTCACGTTTTTTAAAGTCATTTTAACTTTCACTCACCACTAAATTGTTATGATAGTGACCTGCCAAGCAAGATTTGACCACTTGTACAATAGTGGCACAACTGTTATGGGGTAACTAACCATGCATCATATCAGGAGTACATGCCACAGGCAGGAATCCACACCTTAGTTTTGTAAGCCTACTCAAAAGACCATAACAGTGGAAGTCTAGAACTTGGGGGTGGAGACATAATTATGTTGTTTAGATAAAGTGGCATAGTTTCAAAACACCTTCTAAATATATATGTTTACAGCCACAGACAGACAGTCACCACTCTCAGTCTTAGAGAAGCCCCTCTTTCCAATATTCACTGTGATGAAGGGAGACACTTATGACTGCATAAGGTGCTGGGAACAAGAGACAGTCAAGTGTTCAGCCCTAAACAAGACACTTATACCATTCCCCTTCAAGGCTCAGGAAACACTGCAAAATGGGGAACAGAAAGATTTACAAGTCAGAAGACAGGGAGAAGGGCTGTGAAATTCCATCTGCTGGGCAAGACACCGTCCATACAATCATGAATTCTCAACAACCACAAATGACTGTACTTGGTCTTCAAGAAGGGGGCTATCAACAGCCAAGCACAAATGGAAATGGGGTTCAAGGGCCCCTATTCTTCACTGATGAACTATTTATTATAAATAGATTTGGGGAAAAGGAAAGGCATTCCCTTCAGTTACATACCTACTGGTCACCCCTCCAGGTTCCAAAGGATAGTCTCTATGCAAGAGCCACACACATGTTCCTGATTAAACCAAATAGGTCACACAACAAACTAACAAGCATGAATGTGAAAAGGATAGATAGGGAGGAAAGAGGCTTGTTACTGATGAAAGGAAAATAGTGTGGAAGGAGAGAATAACCAAAAAGCCTTATCTATATGTGTGAAATTGTCAAAGAACTAACAATAAAAAATAATAATTTAGTGGTTAAAAAACGTTTAAAATTACTTTAAAAAGATGAATGTAATAACACTGTTGTGTATTTGGTAAGGACCAAAAATTAACCACTGCATTATCTACAAAGGGGAGAAAATATAGGACACAAGACCCTCTAATACAAGAAAGAACTAAGGAATAACTATTCTTTTTGTCACTATACCCGGGTCCTGATGCTACTTGGGGTAAAGCACTGGTTCTCTTTGAGCATCTCTGCAACCATCCAGGAACTAACGGGTGAAGTTGTTAGGCTGGGTTGTGTTCTCCTCTAAAGCAGAAGGAAAATTATTTTTTACAGTTGTATTTGGGGGATGCTGCTGAAAGTCATCCAGGGTAGAGGATTGAAAAATGTCCCAATCAAGGTTTGGAGATAGTTTTTCTTGAGTGTGTGTGTGTGTGTGTGTGTGTGTGTGTGTGTGTGTGTGTCTTCCTTTACTATCATGGTTTTCTCATCAGCTTCAGATAAAACTGCTGCTTCTCTGGCTATCTTAAGTTACACAAGCTCACTTCTGCCCAGTGTCTGGCCTTCCAATATGAAAGCTCGCTTCCTCCATTGGCTCTTTGGGAAATCTGGGTTGATTTTTCATAACCTTATTCTTCTGTGTGGTTCTATAATTCTTAGCCACCTTTCCTAGGAGGATCAAAGCACTCAAAAGCCAAGAACAAAGTAGCTTTCTTTCTTCTTTCTGGCAATGGACTAGAATACAGGCACGCCTCAGCCCAGCTGACCAACACCCTAACCTGCTCAAGTTATTCTGACACCAGTGATCCTCAGGTCTTCACGTGCTGACATTTACAGAATGCAATAACATCCTTTTAAACAAATAGCAAAGTCAAAGAACAAACTTTTAAGTATGACTCATGCTTGTTTTTCTATTTTACAGTTCCTAAAAGTACTTACAAATTTTCTCCAAACAGATTAGACAACACTGTAATTTGGAAGCAATGTGTGACACCTAAATTTTCAATGCCCCTATGATTGTGGCTTTGGTACCAGGAAGCATTTATAAAATTCTAGTCACATAACAGTCATTCTCCCGTGGCTGGAAAGACATGGGCTTAGGAATGGTGTTCCCATGGGGACCTTCCTCTCCAAAGATACAGAAACTTACCCAGTGGTGGGGAGGGGAGAAAGAGAGAGACAGAGACAGACAGAGACAGACAGAGACACATAGAGAGAAATAGATGTAGAATTTTGCATTTAAGCTCAATGTAAAAGAGGCTTGTAAAAGAGCCCCTGAAGGTGACTGAGAATTACAAAACTGGGGCTTATTATTTGCACCGGAAGGAATATCACTCAGGGATAAAGAGAATGTATCACTTTTTGAATGATTTCATTTGTTTGTTTGTTCTCAATGTATATTTTTGTGCATCTCATACACCACAGCTTAATCACCATAACAGTGAGGTAGTGGCACTTTTAGGAATGGTGTTCCCATCCTAAATAAGCAACTATCTAATTCAACTTAAAGCCCTCTCAATGGTAGGTGACTCACATGTGGCACAGTAAATACACCCAAATACACATGGGCTGAGAGGTCATAAATCCTAGGGAAAACTCTACCTCTATCATATCTCTGGACAAATGTAAATTTTTAGGGTATACCAAATATGGATCCTTACATTTACAGACAAGTATAAAATTCACCATTCATCAAAGAAGCTCCTTTTGGCAACTGATGGAATATAGGTTTTTAAAGTATTCCCATATAATGTTCTAGACTTTTGGGGGGGGGCAGTATCTGTTTTGATGTTTCCTCTTTCATCTCTGATTCTGTTAATTTGCATTTGATCTTTCTTTTTTTAAACTGGTCTAAAGATCTGTGTGTTTTGTTTAATCTTTTCAAAGAACCAGCTCTTAGATTCATTAATTTCCAGTCTGATATTTGTTATTTCTTCTTGTCTGCTAGGTTTGGGTTTGGTTTGTTCTTGCCTTTTCAGAGTCTTGAGGTTCACTGTTAGGTAATTCATATGTGCTCTTTCAAATTTTTTAATGTAGGCACTTAGAGTTATAAATTTCCTTCTTAGGACTGCTTTTAAAGTGTCCCAAAAGTTTTGTCGTGTTATATTATCATTTTCATTTGTTCTGAGTCTACTTTCATTTCTTTCTTAATTTCTTCTTTGACCCATTCATCATTCAAGAGTGTGTTGTTTAATCTCCATGAGTTCATGTAGTTACTAAAGCTTCTTTTGGTGTTGATTTTAAGCCTTACTGTGTTGTGGTCTGATAGAATGCATGAAATAATTTCAATCTTATGTATTTGTTGAGATTTGTTTTGTGCCCAGCATGTAGTCAATTTTAGAGAAACTTCCATGGGCTGCCGAATAGAAAGTGTATTCTTTAGTGCTTGGGTGGAATATTTGGTAGATGATATCATTTAATTCAAATGTCTCTCTGTTTATTCTTTGTCACTAAGGTAACCTGTTATCGCTGAGTTGGGGTTAATCCGTGTTTTAAATCCCTGTAGTACTGTTGTTTTTTTTTTTTATGAAATTGGGTACACCAGAGTTGGGTGTATATATGTTCATGATTTTAATATCTTCCTGGTCAATGGTTCCTTTGATCAGAATGAAGTGACCCTCTTCATTAAAACTAATAAGTGTTAATGATTAGTTCTAATTTGAAGTCTATTTTGCCAGATATTAGAATTGCAACACTTGTTTATTTCTTAGTGCCATTTGTTTGGAATATTTTTTCCATCCTTCCACCCTGAGATAGTACCTATCCTTGAAGGTCATATGAGTTTCTTGTAGACAAAAAAGAAATGAACAGAACATTTCATCTGAATCCAGCCAATCATACCAGGAATCAACTATCACCGTCTAGAAAAAGGCAACAGTACTGACCTTTTAATAGATTACTTAGCATGCCAAGGCATAGCATTGCAAGCTTCAAATGAGCAAGTGATTTTAGTAGAGAGGATACACAGTACTAGAGGGCTTATGCTGGAGGCTATGAGTGGTGCAGAGGCCAAGGCTGTCACCTGTGGAGGTGCAGAGGCCAAGGCTGTCACCTGTGGAGTAAATGTGTGTTAATAATGAAGAGCAGCTGTTTGAAGAACCTAGAGCCCCAATGTGAAAAAATTTCATATACCATTTTGATCATATTTAAGTGACTTGTATATTGGGAGTTCTAGCTGAGTCTTCTAGGACTTCCAATAATCAGAAAAATCAAAGAGTAAGAGTACAAGCAAGCACCATTCTTTTTACTTGGGAAACTATAACTTATATAGAGATCAGTGCTCAAATGTTACTCACTTTAGGGGGCTGGAGAGATGGCTCAGCATAAGAGCACTGGCTACTCTTGCAGAGGACCTGGTTCCAGTTCCTAGCACACAGATCATGGTTAATACCTGTCCTTAACTCCAGTTTCAGGGGATCTGACACCCTATTCCAGCCTCTATGAGCACTACATGCATGGGTACACTTATATACATGCAGGTAAAACACTCATACACATAAAACAAAAATAAGCAGAATTTTCTGAAAAGAAAGAAGATGCGGTGTTTTATTCACTTTTATTCAACAAGAAAATCACACACTATACAAATCAGAGCTCCAAAGTATATGAGGTTGAAAAAAAATGAATAAAGTTCTTTACCAGACGTGGAGGAACTTAATGTCTAACATTAAAGAGATACACACACACACTCATGACTCGAAGAGGCCAAATTGATTTCATTCTGGTGAATAAATGAAGGCATTGTGGACTAGGGAGTGTGTAAACTAAGACTTGTAGGAGAGGCACAGCACATAAAGTGAACATAGTAGTGTTGGATTTTTCTGGGAGGAAAAATGTATAGACCTAAAGCAAAAATATCAATGGGCGAGGAATGATCTCAGAAAAACGAGCTAGCAGCTAACAGGAGAAAAGGGACAGACAGAATAGTGTTTGAGACATTTTATATTATGGGTAGAATCAGACTTTGTGGTCATTAAACACAGAAGTAATATCAAACTACAGAAATGTTTATTTTATTCACAAATCCTCTAGGCACAGTTAGGTGATCCTAGGTCAGCTATGTTGGAAGCCATCATCAAATGACTCCTAAGAAATAATATATAGGAAGTGATACATTGCTATCACCAAAGATACTGACTACTAATATCAGTTAACCCTAGGAAATACTTATCAATCAGCATCTAGTCTCTAGCATTTGGAGTATTATCAAAAGAATTGAAAAGGGTAGATAAAATGTGTCCTTGTTCAGCAAAACCTGCTGACTCAGCTGTCAGGATCTTGCAGGATGTGAGGACTGACAAGCAGGGCCGAATGTAAAAAGAGAAAGAAAATGTGTATATCTAAGACAAATAGCCGAAGCAGGGGTGCAGATGAAACTTCTAATCAGACAGGATAATGTCAAGTCAGGCATTGACAAAACATATCACAAGAAAGGAAAAACTATTTCACTTAAAAACAACACAAGCATGAGTTATCTTTAAAATTCTAAGACTTCATTATCAATAAAGAGCTGCAGGAAAGGAAATTCATAATCTAAAGAAGTGATGTTAAATAAAATTCTAATATCTGTGAGGTTGGATGAGGCAGTAGGGGGCAGACTGCAGGCACTCTATATAAGAACAAACGTCTGTAGTCAACCTGTACCTACACAGGGCCTTACTCAACAAGACTGAGTTGGGTCAGAAAGAACTAAGAGATTTAACATTTAAGTACACATTAAACAATATAAGAAATTAGGAAGCACTTAAATTATTGAAATCAAAATTATTCTTTATATGACAAATAGCACCTGTAGTTATGGCATGACAACGCCTTCTCACATAGACAAGACTTTTCAAAACTTCCAAATAACTCCAGAATGCACAAATCCCAGCCTCCACTTGATGCATTAGAAAACAGGAACCAACCTGAATCTGGTGAGCTCATCTCTACCTAAAATTCATTCTGGGAGGTGCAAAGGATGTCTGGCCCCCCTCTTCCCTTGGTGCCTACAACAAACGAAGGTACAGTTTCACTAAACTGCAGCCTGGGAAACTAGTGGGTTTATTGGGCTTACTTACAGAGCAGTAGATGAGGGTTTACTCACAGGAGTGTTGGTGCTCCCTCCGAGGCCACACTGGAAAGTCTTCATCCAGGCATGGATTGTGACCTCCCTACAGACATACAAAATGGCAAGTGACCCTCCCTATGACTTTCTCCACAAATATATCCTCAGTGCCTCCCCCTGTACAACTAAGGCCAACTGGTTTGTTGAGAAGTGTGGTAGACTCTCCCTGTCCCTCTTTTCTTGTGGAGTGTCAATGGTCAACAAGTTTGTGATGAAGTTTGTGATGATCGTAGATAAGCAGGTGCAACCAAGCTTGGGAAGAAGGCGCCTCTCCATAGCTTGGACGTTGGAGGACAGTCCTATGCAACACCACCTACCATCTATTACTGCTTTAATATTTGTCTCATAGCAAGAACAAGAACTTCATGACTCAGAAAGAAACCTATCAGGTTTTATTCCATGATTATTTGACAACTGAAAAGAAGTTACATATATACACTAAATATTTTAAGGAACTTATAAACATACAAGATGGCTTCCTAAATGTAGTAGCTGGAATGTGGGTGTAGCTCAGCGGTAGAGCACATAGCTTCAGTGTGCAAAGTCTTGGGTTTGATTCCTAACTTCACGCACAAAAGGCATTATCAAACAAAATAATTAAAAACAAAAGGTAAACAGAAAACCCCAACCCCCCAAGAATTCCTTCTTTATTATTGGAATCAGTGATCTACGAAACACAGATATGAAGCTGGGAGTGGGATATGGGAGATGGAGTTAGAAGGGGGAATGTGGCCGTGGGGTTGATATAATCACACATTGCATACATGTAAGAAATTCTCAAAGAATAAAGAAATTTTAACTGCAGTACCTGTAATCATTCCAATTAAGTATGATCTATATTTAATACGTATTTATAAAATGCCTATGACTGTGATCCACATCACAGATATGTCTACAAAATATACAAACTTTATTTCCTTTACATTCACATTATATCAAAGAAGGAAGAAAAAGGGAGAGACAAACTGAAAGATCCCATGAGAAACTTCAAGAAAAACAGAATCCAAACTTAATCCTGCAGGAAATATTGAAATGTCCTATGCACTGTGAATATTGTTCCTTACTATTAGTTTGTGCTCTCAAGGCCAGATCTCACACATTCTACTTCTTAGAACCTTCTCAGCAGGTTCTGAATTCCCTGCTTGATTTCTTTGGTTCTCACTCCATAAACAATGGGGTTCAGTGCTGGGGGGATGAGATGATGCAGGATGTTCAGCAGGATGGGGACGTCTGGGGGGATCCTATCCCTGGCCAGGTTAGTGATGACCAACACCAGCAGCACTGTGCTGAAGAAGAGGATGAGGATGAAGTGGGAACCACACGTGCTCAGGGCCTTGGCCACAGCTCCCTCAGCCTTGATCCTTGCCACAGCTTTCAGGATGAAGGAATAAGAAAGAATAATGAGGATGAGGTCAGAGCCCAGCAGGGTCCAACCTATGACAAACTGGTACAGTTTATTGAAGGTGATGTCATCACAAGAGAGCTTGGACACAGACATGTTAGTGCAGATGCAGTTCTTGATAATTCTTGAACAGTACCTCAGTTGGGAAGAAAGAATGGGGATAGGCATAGTAAGAAGCCCATTTCTGGCTGCAACAAAGATGGCAGCCCTGGCCACAAACTGATCAGTGATGATGGATGGGTACCGCAGAGGCTTGCAAATGGCCACATAGCGGTCATAGGCCATGACCATGAATGTACAGGACTCCATTGTTAGAAAACTGTTCATGATGAACATCTGGAGGAAGCAGGCAGAGAAGTTCATGTATCTGTCATCAAACCAGAAGATAGCCAAGACCTTGGGGATGACAGTGAGGCAGAGCACAATGTCCAGCATGGAGAGGAGGCTGAGCAGGTAGTACATGGGCTCATGTAGAGAGGCCTCCAGCCTGATGGTGATGAGGAGTGTGACATTGGCCCCCATGGCCAGGAGGAAGAGAAGGCTGAGTGGCAGAGACAGCCAGTGCTGCCTGCTCTGGTAATTAGGGAAGCAGATGAGGAGGAATTCAGGGACTGGAACTGACGAACCGTTGCTTTGTTCTTCCATGTGTGACCTGACCAGAACCAACACTTCAGAAAACCCTGGAACCAGAACAGGGAAAAATTCATCCATATAATATGAATACCCAAAAGGAGGTGGTTAATTTATTAATTAATTACTTTAATAATTAATTTCCCAGATGATCATTAAAAAGTAGTAAGAGGGCCCACTAGATGGGTCAGTGGGTAAAGGCACTTGTTGCCAAGGCTGATGACCTGACTTCAGTCCTTGAGACCTACATGGTGGAAAGAGAGAACTAACTCCACAGATTATTCTCTGACCGCCACAGAAGTACCCTGGTAGGCCTGGGACTCTCTCCCCCCATATACACAATAATGGTGGATAACATCCACTGGCTCCCTGTGAATTCCCCCTGAGTCACAAACCCAGACTAAGCAGCTGATTGTGGCCTAGTAAGTGGTAACCAACCGTGAAATGGTGAATGAACTAAATGAATGAACTAGGGCTTGTCTTGTTGGTTGATACACCTACGCTGACTGTGATTTTATTGCTCTGAAAAACTCCACTATTGGTTATTTTTAAATCAATAATGTAGAGGTCCTGTTGAATGCTAAAGCTTCTTATGATCGATCGACTTCCTTCTCTTTTCTGAGAAGAAAAGAAGTGAGTCTCCAAGGCAAAGAGTAAGTGTGAGTAGCTGAAGGCATTTTCGAGGTTGAAACTGACCAATCGACTCTTCTATTTCGCCTGCTACGTTATACCTACACAGTATGCAGCAGCACTATAAAGTCTAAAGCAAAAATGTAATTCAGGGGCTGAAAAGATGACTCAGTGGTTAAGAACACTGATTGCTCTTGCAGAGGACCCGGATTCAGTTCCCAGCACCCACGTGGCAGCTAACAACATCCGTAACGTGAGCTCCATGAGTCCAGTGCCTTTTGCTGGCCTCTGCAGTCAAGGCACACACAGGTGCACTTGTCTACATGCAGGCAAAATTCTCATACTCATAATGCAAACGTAACTTAATTTTTAAAATATATAAGGCAAACTATATGTAATTAGAATTTTCTAGTAGTTGCCTTTAAAATGTAAAAGAAAGTATGTGTGTTTAATTTTAAGATGTTATTTTAGTCAATATCACTAAAATATTATCTCTTTGACACATAATAAACCTTCTGAAATGCTAAAGTATTATTTCACACACTTTCTTGCCCTAAATCTTCACAATGAGTCCCGTATTGCACACCTAATTGCAATTTGTGGTAGCCACATTTTCAATGTGTATTTCAATAGCTAATGAGTATCATTAGGGACAGCACAGCTCGGGAAGAATGGGGAACTAGGCACTTCTTTCCCTAGGGGAACTAGGCACCTTTCCCTTTGCCTAACATATGAAGTTACCCTTGCTGTTCATTTCACCACGGCATCTCTCACCTTTGGGTGGCAAAGGAACTTTCTTCCTTTGGTTCAATTTCTATAGCAGTTCAAAATTATAGATTTCATTTACATATTAAATATGACCTTCAAATTTCCTTTGAGATTTATCAGTAAATTGTTCTTCAATTCTTCAGAACGAGAATGTCATTCAGGGTTCCAGCCTCTACCAAGCCCTCATCCTAACCTTTACTCATTCCTTTTTGAAGAAAAGAGGCTGTCATTTTATAATTTTTTTCTATTATACCCTAAGCTACCATTTACTAAGTAATACCAAAAATTTCAGATGCTGTCAAATGTGACAATAGGCACATTATATTTTTATGTAAGAAATACCAGGAAACCAGAATTAGGTACAGATATAATTCAATAGTCCTTAACATAAAAATCTCTGTTTCCTAAATGTGTAGTGTACAGCTCACATTAAAAAAAAAACGCATCCTCCATCAGAAAGTTTGGATGCTCCTGATTTGGAGATGCTGGCAGAATCTAACTCTGAAATGCCAGACTTGCTGTAGTCCTATTGTAAGGATTCATTCCTCCTCCCTGTACTGGACCCTGGGTCACCACAAGCCTCGCCATTCTCTCCTCACAGTCTTCCTAGTTCTAAGCTGGAGCAAGCAGATCCAGGCTATTCTACAATTGCTATTTATGAAAGTTCATTGCACCATGTAGACCAGCCTCTCAGCAGCTCTGAAGGGAATTTACATTCCCTAAGCTTCCCTCTCTCCTCACTGCCCACAGGAATTAAGCCATATTAGGCATCTGAACTGGGATAATAAAGCTTATTCCTCACAGATTTGGGTGAGAAAACATAGAAAATAAAGTGTAACATGAGAGTGATGCTAGGGAAGGAAAGAGAGTTGAGGAAAATAAAAATGATACAGAGAAGTTAAATAAAGAACATTCACATTTTAAAGTAAACATTTCTAATCTTAAGAGGATGCCATTTCAAACATGAAGTGTACTTTTAGAAAAGCATATTAAATGGGGATGTATACAGGCTTTTCTTGACTTACGTAAGATTTAATGACAAAGAACCCATCTTGT